CCACCTACTTCTGGCTGCTCTTCGCCATGCTGGCGGTCTCGGCCCTCGCCTTCCTGGGGCTGAGGCCGGCCATGCCCAAGAGCCCCTCCAAGGACAGCGTGGGCATGGAGGAGTCCTTCCCGCTTCAGGACGGCACCCCCAGCCCAGCCAGCACCCCCGCGGTACCAGCACCCACCACCCTGGCACCCTCCTTTTGGAGCAGGCGCACCATCTACCTGCTGGGGCTGTGCAACGTGCTGAGCGACGGCGTGCTGCCCTCGGTGCAGAGCTACTCCTGCCTGCCCTACGGCAGCCTGGCCTACCACCTGGCTGTCGTGCTCAGCAGCATGGCCAGCTCCGTTGCACACTTCTTCACCAAGTTCATGCCATGCAGGTGAGTGCAGGTGGCAGCACCTCTGCCCAGCCGCTGCTTTCACAGAGAGGCGTCGGGGTTGGTGCCCCGCAGTTACCTGCCAAAGACCCGTGTCCTGGTTTCACAAGGGCCCCCACAGAAGCCCCCATCTCCCGCGTGGAGCTGACCCCCTCCAGCCGCCTGCTTTGGGTTGTACCCTGTTGGGGGGAATAAGCAAGGCGCACGTGTCCATGTCCCTGCACTGCTTCCCTGACCCCCGCCCCATGCAGAGGGTGACGAAAGGCTTGGTTTCACCCCAAGCTTATGCAGGGTCTGCCAGCATGCCCAGAGGACTGACTTGGAGGGGACGGGACCCCTCTCTAATGGCCCTAGTGTGGCCCATGCCCCTGTCTGAGCCCCCCATGAGACACCTGTCTGAGTGTGCCTTTGGACCTTGGACCCGGGCCCTGGGCACGGCCTGCCAGGAGCAGATGCAGAGCAAGTCTCCCTGTGTAATGCCAGGCAGCTGCCCTTGGAGCACCTGGGCACAGCCTGCCTTGAGGCTGGCTGCAGATACTCTCCGAGCAGGCTCAGCCACCTTGGACCCCTGCTTACGCCATTCCCTGCTGCCAGGCCTGCGGGTGGGGATCACTCTTCACCAGCAGCTGGGAGCACAGCGGGATTCATGGGCCAGTGGCTGAGAGCGGATCTGGTGGCTGTCTACAAGCTAGCCAAGGGAGACCAGTGGGGAATGGGAGAGTCCCTGAACCCCTGAGCACTACCAGGGGTAACAAGGAATAATAGTCATAAGCTGACCGAGAGCAGATTCAGACTAGACACCAGGAGACGCTACGTCGCTGTCAGGGCGGCTAGGACCTGGAACCAACTTCCAAGAGAAGTGGTGCTGGCTCCTACCCTGGGGGGCTTCAAAAGAAGACTGGATGAACACCTTGCCGAGGTCGTTTGACCCCAGTGCTCTTTCCTGCCATGGCAGGGGGTCGGACTGGATGATCTGCTCAGGTCCCTTCCGACCCGACCAACTATGAAACGTGGCTGCCCCCCTTTGTCCTTTCTCTGCCCCTAGGTCGGTGGCGGTCTTGAGCGTCATCTCTTTGCTGGGATGCTTGCTTGCGGCCTACCCAATGGTGTTGGCAGCTCTCAGCCCCTGCCCACCGCTGGTAGGGAGCGGCGTGGGGGTTGCCTTGGTGGTGAGTATCGGGAGTGCCCTGGGGCCAGTAGGGTGGCTGCTGGGGAGGGGAGAGGTATCTGCCCCTGCCCCGCCCATGGGTACCACCCATCTGCTTCCAAAGGGCAGGGGTTTCCCTGGCTGGTGCCTCTCTTGGGGTAACAGGGCCATCCCCAGCTCCTAGGTCTACCTCAATCGCAGCAAAGCTGGGAAGTCTCTGAGGCCAGGATGGTCATCATGCCCTCACCCACCCCGCCATGCCATGCCATGCCAATGCCGTTAGCTGGATGGCAGTGGCTTGCACAGGCAGTTGCTGATACGGCTTCTCCTGGCAGGTGCTGCCGTGGATCCTGGTGCTAGGCCTCTTCTCCTATGTGAAGGTGAGGATCAGCAGCCTGCTGCTCGAGGCAGACGCTCGAAGGGACACCGCGCTGCCCCAGTACAACACCGTCATCCTCGGCAGCTCTCTGTTGAGTGCCTTCATCATGTTGCTCCTCGTCAGCAACCGCCAACTCTTCCACAGCGGGCAGGACTGCATGGCCAACTGCATGGTGCAGCCCCCTTCTTACCCCCTAGCAGATGCTCCAGAGGAAAGCCCCCAGCTCCCTTGGGAGAGGCCTGACCCCCTCCTGCTAGGAGAGCCGGGGGCTGCAGGCCTGGGGCAGGGGACAGTGAAGTGATTGTCATGGTTCCCAAAAACAATTTGTTAATACTCTGGTCTGTGGCAGAATACCACCTCGGTCTCTCCTCAAACTCTGCTATCTGACAGTTAGGTTACCTTGCTCCAAGCAGAGGGCAGACACCTCTGGCCCTGAGTTATAACCTGAGCTGGATACTTTCCTGTGGGAGGCAGAAAACCTGCTCCCTCTGTCTATGCGACTGGCCTCGCACGCCTGGGTGGGGCTTACACTATTGCTCTAAGTATAACCCAAGGGTGGGCCTGTCGTCACTTGGAAGGGATAGATGAGGCAGGCACCACTGCTGTGACAAGGACACCCGTGATTTTGTAGCAAGCTCCCCAGTTTTTCTTTTCTTTTTTTTTTTTTTAAATTTTCAAATACATTCCCTCCCTTCCCCAATTATTTCTGACTTTTTCTCTCCCTCTCTATTCCCTATAGCAAAGTATGAGTAAGTTAAGACATAGGTATAATAGGTATGAATAAGCTAAGCCATAGCCGTGCCCGGAGCTGTGCGGCCGGCAGCGGCAGTGTGGTGGTGGCCAAGCAGCACGCAGCCGTCCCCACCACCACCCTGCGCCATGCACGGCTCCACGGCAGCAGCAGATTTTGTAGGCAAGGGTAGCAGGTCTCTACTGAATAATCAGCTCAATGACCAGACCATTGCTTTCCATGGACTCACCCAGGAACCATGGACCCAGCATTTGAAAGACAAAGACGCTACAGAAATCAGCCAAGCCACTATTGCAACACAGACACCGGAAACTGCATGTCCACGCCTGGCGTCCACATGCTCAGTGCACCAGGGCTGACCCTTGCCTGTGAGAAAATGTATCACTAATTGGTCAAGTCAGCAATAGAGTGCACGAATGTGGTGTATGTGACTAACAAAGCAGCAACGGATGATATGAATACAAGGAAACAGCTAAGAAAGGAAGTGTGGTGTCGGCACCTAGAAGCAAACCACTGACGGCCAGATGTCTGTGTAAACATCCTCGGCAGAAAGAGTGGTTCAGGTTGGCTAGATAAGAGGAACCTTTCTACATGACGACTGAACAGCACGTGCCTTGGGGATAGGGTTTGAGAAATCTTTCCCAGCAACATAAACTGTATAAAAGGGGGCGAGAAAAAGAATGAGAGAGGGAAGAACTTCCCTCACCACTGGAGCTTGCACCTGTGCATGCCAGGTCAGATACCCCGCTCCATCAACAGATAGGGATGGACCCTATCTGCAGTGCCCTTGGGATCAAGTAAGTGTGTCACCTGTGAGAGTGTATGCACGTGTGAGTGTGTGTGGGGTGGGGTAATGCACTAAGCGTATAACTCCCGGGTACACTTAGTCCGTTTCTTTTCATCATTTATTGCTATTAGTCATTAGCCTCATTTTTGGGTTACAGCGGGCAGCCAACAGCGGTGAAAGAACAGGTTAGGGACTACTTAGAAAAGTTGGATGTGTACAAGTCCACGGGGCCAAACTTGTACATGTCCACATGTGCACGTGTCCACCCTTGAGCCCAAGGGAGCGGGCTGATGCGATTGCAGAGCCATTGGTCATCACCTTTGAAACCCCATAGTGATCAGGAGAGGTCCCGGATGACAGGAGAAAGGGCAAAACATAGTGCCCATATTTAAGAAAGGGAAAAAAGGAGGATTCAGGGAACTAGAGACCAGTCAGCCTCATCTCAGTCCCTGGAAAAATCCTGGAGCAGATCCGCAAGGAATCCATTTCCAAGCACTTGGAGAAGAAGGCGATCAGGAGCAGTCAATATGGATTCACCGGGGGCAAGTCACACCTGACCAACCCGATGGCCTCCTGTGACGAGGTGACTGGCTCCATGGGTATGCAGAGACGGGTAGATGTGGTGTACCTTGATTTTAGCAAGGCTTTTGTTATGGTCTCACAGCATTCTTGTGGGATAGTCGAGCAAAGGGACACAAATGCCAATAGTTGCATTAGTTTCTGCTTTGATTTTGAATTGAATAATACCGTGCTAGCCCCCTAAAGCTTCTAGTTTTGGTTTAACCAGAGAAAAATGTGTGTGTGGGGGAGGGGGGTCTAGGTGAGCATGTGCTACATCTTCTGTAGCAGAAAGCTCCCTTTTCCTCTTGCCTGCATTTGCTCTCCCCTCTTTGGATATGTTTCTCTTTTTCTACCTTTTCTTCCTTCCTCTCTCTTTCACTTTAAGATAAGGAATTGTGTTTTAAAATTTGTATGTGTGCATTTTGTATCTCCCCTTGTAGTTTGGTATTTTTATCTATTTGTGTGCCATGGCATTTGTAGCTTATATTTTATACTCCTCACCTTTCAACTTTCAACTAAATGTGTTTAGTTTCATAAGTAAGTTATACATTGTAACAATGTTAACAAGGGCAGGAATCAAACTGTCCTTCTCTGTATCAGGCTGGCCCCTGAAAGAGCGAGTGAATCAGTGATTGAATGTGTAACACTGTAGCAGCAGACAACAATTAACACCTGGGACACTGCAGATCAACCAACGGAAGACTTCAATAGAAGACAATGTAACAACAGGGAAATCACTAAGCCTCGCTGATCAAGGGCTAGAAGCCCTGGCCTGAGTTAATCAACGCCAGAGACCAACCTTTGGGCTGAATATCTCCAGATCGACCACTCCCAGAGCCCTATTCTAAATTCATCAACAGACTCCCAAACCTGCATGTTCATGCGGATGACCCCTAGGGCGGACAGATGCTGTCCAGTAGCCACCAAGGGGGGGGGGGGGGGGAAGCCCCACGAGGGTCAATGACCCCTGGATTGGGCAAACCTGAAAACTGGGGAGTCACCAAAGTCTGCCAGGGACAGATAAAAGGCAGTGAAAAGTGACCCTCAGTGGCGCCCTCTTGATCTCCAACTCGACCAGACCTATCCAGCCAGAAGGACCAGCCGGCGACCCCCTTCTGCAAGATAACACTACGCTGAAAGAAGCCTCAACGACAGACTCCAGCGCTTGTAGGATAGGTATACCTGACTCTGTAGCCTGCTACTGTGCGTGTGCGGGGACCAGCCCCAAGGTTTGTGATTACAGCGTTTCAATCTGCCTAATAAACTAGAATTTTAAGGATCCCGAGTTGGACATTTGTAGCCAACGCTTCTGCACCCCCTTTCTAAGCCCCCAGATTTTCCCACGGTGCCCACAGAGGGCCGGCACTTACAGCTGTAACATCCTCTCCGGGCAGCAGCAGATGCAGCAAAAAGCTCTTCCACCCCTCTGAGCTTAGCAAGCTCCCCAGAGCAGAGATCAGCTGTGGCAGCATCATTTTTCCCTCCCCATGGGTCAAAAGCAGCAGCTGGCTGTGGATTTAGCTGAGCACGATCTCTCTCACCAGCCCTGTGAATGGCCAGATGCAGCAAAGGGACAGACCCCATCTCCCCCGACACCCCAGGGAGGCAAGGTGGAGCAAAGAGGAATGAACCCCGCTCTGGCCAGGGGCACTTACATATCAGGGCGATATGAAGAGAGCATGTCTGCACTGACCTGGCCACGTGCCTTCACTCTTCAAGCAGGGAGCAGTGTGGATGCCCCCCTGCACCCATCGATAGGGGACCCCCACACCCCGAGACAGCCTAGGCTGGAAGAGCAGCTGCCTGGCCACATACAGCACGAGCAAGGCATCGTCCCTAGTAGTCTCCCACCCACTGACTTGCTTCTCTTTGTCTAGAGAAAGCGAGTCACATCCATGCCGCAGCACCTCCGACAGCCAAGACTGCTCCAGTGCCAGGCAAAATGGAGCAGTGGAGACTGACATCCAGCCTCGTGTCCCACCCCGCCCCGCCAGGTCCCCACCGCAGCCTACCCCAGGCCAGCTCGGTTCGCTTTGACACCAAAGACCCGAGTCGTAACTCAACGGCATTTATTAAACGTGTGCAAAAAAGTGGGTTTCCCCTCTAAAACCTCAGGGCCTGGCAGCGGCTTATCCTAGGCACTGATCCTGACCCCAGTCCTGCCAGCACTGCCGAAGCCCCAAGCCTGCAGGCCCGGCGTCATGGCCAGCACCCGGGAATGGACAGGAAGAGCCCAGTGTGACCTGCCCACAAGCACAAGTGCGGGCGGGAGGGCGAGCAGAGAGCAGTTTCTCCCAAATCAGCGTGAGAACGGACCAGCCCCAGTTTTGAGCCTGACCCACGGCTCATGGCTGCAACGTTCAGGCCAGGAACAATTTTAAAAGAGCCTTCCCCAAAATACGGGAGCCCAAAGGGACCTGGGGCACGCACCCAAGTCACGCTTGTCACACTGCAAACATGCACATTAAAACCAGAGGCAGTGTTTAAAAGAAGAGTCTCCGTAGGTCACGCTGACCTGGCACCCTAGGTCTCGGGGCAGCGAGCCGGGAGGCTGCAGCTCAGCTGGCGTGGGACACATGCCCCTAGGCGTGGACGTGGCAGAAGTCCTGCCCCGGGACAGCTTTCTTCCTGCACGGCTGCCCGGCCCTGGTGACACCCTGGCACAGGCTCCGCGGAGACAGCAAGGAGGTGGACCTGCAAGGGCAGACAGCCCCGGTCAGGCCAGGAGCCCCAAGACTCCCCCTCGCGTCTCTGGCCACGAGCTGGATGCGACGTGGGCTGGTTCTGGGCTTCATCCCCCATTGCTCCCCACCTCACCAGGCCCAGCTGCCGTCTGGTGGCTTCGTGGATGGGTCGCGTGCACGGGAGGTGGCAATGCCACGTACTCACATGTCGCTGGCCAAGGTCTGGTTGGGGCTGTAGCACCGTAGCAGAGAGGCAGGGCTGAGGCCTGGATGGCGCTTGTCCGACGTGGCCTGTTGGGAGAGGAGTGATGCACGTCCTGGCTCCAAGGACCAGCTGCTGCTTCAGCTGATGTCCACAGGCCCAGCACCCCCACCCAGGACCCAGAGAGATGCCAAGGACCCTATGTGCATGGATCCTGATGGGCTGGAGGGGTGTTGGGGGTCTCTCAAGCAGCACACTTGTTTTACAGCCATTCTCCCAGCACTGCTCAGCATCCGAGGGGTTCAACTGACTGGTGTCCACGGCCTTACTTAGGCTGCGACAAGCAAGCTGGGTGCCCACCTGGTCCTGGGCAGCTTAGCCAACAGCATAGGAGCTGACCACGATGACCCAGCCTCCCCCACAGCCCTACACACCTACCCGCCTCTCCAGCACCTCATGCCAGGTGCTGCGGGCAAGGCTGATGCGACGCAGGCTCGTGGCATGGCCCAGCCCGGGCCCCGGGGCTGCAGAGGATGGGGATGGCCTCAGGGAGTCCGGCTCCAGGTAGGGACCGTCTGCAACAGAGCCATGGGCAGTGCTCCAGTGCCCGGGGACACAGAGACCAGGGCCCCGGGAGCGAGCAGAGTCCAGCTGGCCCCCAAGCAGCAAGCGGGGGCTCTGGGGAGACCCCACCAGGGTGCTCGAGGGGTCTCCAAAGGAAGCCAAGTCCCCGGGGAGGCAGGGCTGGTCTCCCCATCTCCCACCTGCTCCGTTTGTTCCACCAAGGCTCGTTCCTGGCTCCACTCGTGGGAGCTCCCAGGTCCCGCCTCGCCGCACCCAGCAGGAAGGGGAGCACCTACCCCCAGGGCATGTGCTCCGGCCCCGCTCACCTGGCAGGTAGCTCATGTCCTCCAGCTGGTGGAGCTCCTCTTTCAGGAGGCTGGTCTCACACTCCCTGCCGGGGGAGAAAGCCAGGTCACGGAGCCAGGCACCACCCCAGTGCCCCCTCGGCAGCCGGCAGCTCTCCCTTCAGTCCCACAGGAGACACGGAGCTGGGCGGCAAAGGGTGCAAAGCCCACGTGGACCCACGGATGAAGTGTTGGGATGTGGAGGGAGAGGAGTGCCAGCTCAGGTCTGGGATCTAACAGGGGGACCCAGCACCCCCTGATCCAGGAGAGCCCTGCCAGCCAGACACTCCCCAGCAAGGGCACACGGACACCCAGCTCCTGACAGAGCAGAGCTGGGAGATCCTGGGCTCTGCCACTGCTGGCCTGCCCAACCCTGGGCATGTCCCTGGCACCTGGCAGGGCAGGCCAGGCTAGCAGGGAAGGGGGTTTAAGTCCCTACGTACTGTGCGCCGGCCCCCACCATAGATGCAGATTCCCCGTGACCGGCAGGGGGGCCAAGGGCTCTCACTACCCGTCTCCTCTGCAGCACCTGGCCCCCACCTTGTGCCCAGGTGCTCGCCTGGTCCAGACACCGACCAAGAGCCCTTTGGGCCCCGGCTCGTAGCCAAGGGACTGATGCTCCCGAGGGTCTCTCCTCCTACCTGTCTGGGGTGGAGGTCCTGCGGCTGCTGGGATCAGCCCTGGCCCCCACGGCTCTCTGGGGAGGGGGCAGCAGGGCGAGCCCGGGCTTCTGGCCCTGCACCCTCCAGGCCCCATGGCACACGCTGGTCAGCAGCCAGTGCCCTGCATAACGAGGGGGAAACGCAGCCACAGTCAGCCCAGTGCTGCTCCCAGTTGCAGGGAGCAATGCAGTTTTCCCCACCTCGGGCTGCTGGGTCCATGCATGAGCCTGGCATCCCCCCAAACCTGGCAACCCCAGGTGCAGAGGAAGGGAACCCGGCCATACCCACCCGTGATGACGAGCACCAGGAGGGCAGTGAGTGCCGGGAAGCCCAGGGAGGCAGCGCGCTGCAGCTCGGAGAGTGCATTGGCCGCCACCAGCACCAGGAGGGCGGCACGGGGCAGTCCCGGTGTCTGCAGGAAGGCCAGGAGCAGGGCGGCCAGCAGGAAGTAGGCGGCATGCAGCGTGCAGGTGGAGATGGCCCCCAGGCTCACCCCTGCGAGAGGAGGGAGCAAGGTTGGTTAGGCATCCCTGGGCACCATGCCAGCTCCTGGGCTGGCACCGGGGCCCTGCCAGTCCCTGCTCAGGCTGGGGATTGGGGGGTGTCAATGCACCCCCTAACTCCACCTGGAGAGGGAGGTCACCAGCTAGAGCCACAGGGGAAAGGACAAGAGCAGATGGATGGTGCTGCAGTACTGAACAACCTAGGGACGGCCAGCGAGGGCTTGGACAGAGGCTACTTTAGGAGCAGCAAGGACACGCGGCTTTATGCCAGGGGTAACTATATCCCATGGCAGCCATGTGTCTGCTCCACCAGCCCAGGGTATCTCCCCGAAGGAGATGGGCTGCCCTAGTCGCCACGTGCTGCAATAGCACCAAGCGTGGCCGGGGTGTCTGCTCCTTACCCCAGGTTCAGTTACCCCATGGTAAGTGCTGCGTCTGTTCCCTAAGGCCCGCTCATACCAAGCTGTGGCTGGCCAGCGTGGAGCCCAGCCGGGTTCAGCCCCGCGTCACCTGTCCAGGCGATGACGCTCTGGATGTGCTGCAGCCGGCTCTCCACGCTGCTCTGCAAGTGCTCCACAGCGCCCAGCACCTGCCCCAGGCTCCGATTCACCCGCTGCAGCTTGCCCATCAGCTCCTCATAGTACAGGCCTGTCTGGCTCTGGTAGGACTGGATCAGCGCCAGGTCGGACTCTGGGGGTGGAGGAAACCCAGAGCCTAGTGCCCACGCTGCTGGCAGGGGGCAGCTGGCTCTGGCAGGGGGGTCCCATCCAGGGCAGGGCCAAGGGTCCCAAGGCAGGGAGAGATGGTGGAGACTGCCCATGCCAGCTGCCATAGTCCCAGCTGGGAGCACCCAGCCCGTGCCCCTCCTGCCCCGGTACCGATTTTGGCGTAGACCTGCTGGGTGCGGCTCTGCACGCGGCTGAGGTCGGCCAGGATGACCTGGTGCCCCTCCTGCAGCTCCACGTCCTGCTCGCCCAGGTGGATGCTCATGTTCTCTGTGGGACAGAGGGGCAGGACCCCCGTGAGACCCCATCCCATGCTCAGCTACGCCTGGGACAAGGAGCCTCCAGCCAGCTCCTGCGGCCCAGGGAGGGTCATGCCAGGGCCAGCTGCACCTTGGGGCCCCCTTCCAGACCTCCCACGGGAGCTCCAGGCCATGGGGGTTGCAGGCTGGCCGGTGGGCACCGTGCATGGGACAAGGCACCGTGCTCACCCATCTTCCTGGTGATGCCCTCGATGAGCTGAGCCACCTGCTGCTGCCCGCTGGCGATCAGGGCTTCCTCCTGGGCTAGCTGCTCCAGGTTGCCGCGGAGGGAGGATGCCATCTGCTCCTGGCCGCCCTGCAGTCTCTCCTGCTCCGCCAGCAGCTCGTGCTGGCTACGGACCACCCGCTGCAGGGATTCCTCCGTCAGCTCCTTCAGCTCCTCCTGCCCGTCCTGCCGGAGACGTGGGGCCCAGCTCAGAGCCCTGCAAGGAAGGCAGCTCCCCTGGCAGGGCTACCCATGGGGGGCAGAAGTGTGGCTGGGGGTAGGCTACCAACCCCAGCATGCCTTGCTTTACCTTGTAGTTGGGCAGGAGCAGTATGGAAGCTGGGATGGACCAGGGCGGTGATTCTCAACTGGGGTGCTGTAGCATGGTGGGGTGCCACAAGACTGTTTTAAGGGTGCCACACTATCACCACTGTCAAGCCCCTGCCACATGTTGCACTTGAGACGCCATTAACCAAAAATTGCATCTTTGCAATGGTTGCAACTCGGCCACACGTTACAGCCATTAACGGCACTGTAAACCAAGGAACAAGCCACAAAGGTGTTCCACAAAAAACAGGTAACAACTTTGTTGCTGGTTTGTATCACACCACTAGTTGAACTAGTGGCCAGGTGCTGCCCCATGGCCATGACCCCCCTCCGCTGATGGGTCTTCTCAGCTGTAGGGGAGCACCATGACATCCTCCCCTCCACCATCAGCTGAGGCAGCTCCCAGCTGCAGGAGCTTGCTGGTACAAGGGGAGCCTGGGATTGTGACAACAGGAAGGTCTTTTTCCTCCAGCATGTCATTAAAATGTGGAGCTTGTTGCCACCAGACGTGGTGGAAGCTGTTAGTTTAGCCAGGCTCACAAAGGGATTGGACATGTTCTTGGAGGAACAGGGCATCGGTAGCTATTAAGCACGGGAGTGTGGAGCACGGCCTCTGCATCACAACTGTCTCGGGACTGATTTAGTCCTTGGCAGGACTGATGTGACACCAAGCTCCCCCTGCACTAGCAGTAAGGCGTGATGGGAGGCTCAATCCCACAATCACACCTCTGGCCATAATCACACCTCCGGCACACGTGGCATGGCAGGAAGGGTGATTGCGTGGATTGTGCATTGGATCCCATCACACCTTTACCTGCACATCTGGTAGGGGCCGTAGCTCTGCAAAACACCTACATGCGATTCACAACATAAACCCAGAGATTTCAAACAGGAATCGTAAAAAATTAGGGTTGAAGGGATCTCCGGAGGTCCCATCTAGTCCAACCCCTGCTCCAAGCAGGACCAGCCCCAACTACATCATCCCAGACAAGGCTTTGTCTACCTGGGGCTTCAAAACCTTCAAGGATGGAGACTCCTCCACCTCTCTGAGGAGCCTGTCCCAGTGCTTCACCACCCTCCTGATGAGAAAGTTCTTCCTAATATCCAGCCTCAACCTCCCTTGCTGCACTCCCGCGTCCAAACCGTTCTGCGCTGCTGTGGGCTCGCTGGGCTGTTTGCAACAGAAGAATTGCTCTAGGACTTGGTCATTGTCAGACATGGGGTGAAAGCAAAGAGCCAGTATTTTTGGAGAGTGCCCAGAGTCAAACGGGGTTGAGAGAGTATGGGAGAAGCCAGGGTGTTGGGGCGATCTCTTTTATTGGACCAACTGCATGGCAAGTAGGCAGCGTGCAAGCCTTGGGGCACAGAGGGTCCTTTGGGGCTGAGAAAGCCGCAGCCTCCAACGTCCTGCTTGCGTAAAAGGCTGTTAACGTCCCCTCCAGAAAGCCCAGGCCATGCCCCCGTTACAGAGGAAGACCAGTAATGGAAGGGATTTCTCCCCAGTATGCACCAGTCTGAGTTGGGGGGAAATCCCTTCCTGCCCCCAGTGCAGCATGAGCGTGGGGGCAAGACCCTCCAGCCAGGACTCTGCAGGGTTGGTGCCAGCCGGCCACACTCTGGACCCAAGCCCCGTGTCACCCCAGCTGCCCGGCATGTCAAGTCCTTGCTGGGACACCCACCTTGAGCAACCTCATGGCCTCCAGCTGGCCGGCGGCCGTGGAGACCAGCGCGTTGACCGTCTGCTCCGTCCGGCGCCTGAACTGCAGCTGGCGGGTGGCGTAGCAGACGGCTCGGGCCCGGTTGCTGACGATGTGGTAGGCGTTCCAGGTGTCGGGGTCCATGCCCGCCGTGCACGCCGCGAGGCTCTGGGGGAGAGGGGGCCAGGCAGGGTTACGGTACAGAGCCGGGGCGCAGAGCAAGGGGAGACTCGAGTCGCGTGGGGGGCACCCGCATGGTGCAAGAGGGCCGGGGAGAAGGGCAGCACAGGGCAAAGCGCGGGGGTGCAACGGGCTGCACCGCCCTGTGCAGACCGAGGGAGGGTCTCAACCCGGCTGCCCCAGCGGGACCCCGTACCATGCCGGCGGTGCAGGGGTAGGTGCGGCGCCCCTCGGCGCTGGCCTGGCAGTTGAAGAGCGACACCCCCAGCTTGGCCACCTCCTCCTCGGCCATGTCGGCGCAGGACGAGCGGAGCCGGGCCACGACCTGCGGGCGGGCGGGAAAAGCGCCGTGACGCCAGGGCCCGACTCGGTTTCCCTCCCAGCCCCGGTGCAGACCCACGAGGGCCCGGCTGCGCTGGGAGACGCGCCCCGGGGCTGCCAGCAGACGCGGTCCCCGGGAGCCCAGGGGCCACGCCGTCACCTGGC